TTTTGGGACCAAGCTTGCCACCTTGCTTCCTGCGCGTATGGGGGCTTCGCAACACATACGCGGTACACCCCCTAACGCGTAGAGAGCGGGCGGAAGGCGTAACCCCAAGCCAGAGAGTGGTAGGTGTGGTGTCGGGCCGGTGGGGATGCAGATAAAGATTGTAGAGGAGTGCCGCATGGAAGAGGGCATATTCCCCAGTGTGACCGTGGTGCGTTGGCGTGACTGAGGAGGCAGCGAGCGATCTGAACCAAGGTGTGGTTGCGGCTCTCTGCAATGCCATTCTGCTGCGGGCTTTCAGGGAGCGTGAAGGTTTGCCGAATCCCTTGGGCCGCACAGAAGTTATCGAGTTTGCCATTGCGAGATTCTCCACCGCCATCAGAGTGGAGGCACTTCAGAGGAGTGCCGAACGTGACTTGAGCCTGGAGCACCCACGCCATGATGACATCAGGTGCCTCCGCCTTGGTATGCAGGAGGTGCACAGAAACATACCGCGAGTGGTCATCGACTAGTGTAAGAAAGTACCGATGACCGCCTCGAGATGCGACTTGAGCTGGGCCCCAGACATCCATGTGCACTAGGTCCAGCGGAGCAGCTACGACGGATAGGGAGGAAGGGTGCGGCTGCTGCGTGAGCTTGCTCTTGGTGCAGTCTAGGCAGGTGGGTGCAGATGAGTCTGTTGGTGGAGGAAGCGCCGACGGGAGGCCAAGAAGTTTCTTGGAAGCGATGTCGGCAAGTGTACGGAAGTTGGGGTGACCCAAGCGATGGTGGTAGAGGATGGTTGGGTTGGCGAAGCTGCGACACGAACACGGAGTGGTGCTGGCAGCTTGCGCTTGGGAGAGGGCGGCGAGAGGTGCAGGTGAACGCAGCGTGTAGAGCTTGCTACGGTTGAGTGTGAAGCATGCTAGGAGCTTGTTGGACTTAGGGTCGAAGAGGTCACAGTGATTCGAGTGTGCTGGGAAGATCGTGGTAACACGTGCCCGTTGGAGCTCGTGTTGGGCCACGAGATTGTGGCGTAGTGTGGGAACACACATGTCAATCACACTGCCCGAAGGAAAAGCTGGGCACGGAACTGTGGAGGAGCCCTTGGCGTGTGTTGTGAAACTGGAGTCTGCTCCAAGTAGACGGATTGGTGTCTCGTATGGCTTGAAGGAGTGTTCTTCCTTGAGAACCGTGTGAGTGGCCCCACTGTCGAGGGTGAACTCTACTGTAGCTGAGGTGCTTTGTGAGCCAGGATACTGCGAAATCGTCTCATTAATCATGGCAGTGCCAGGGAACAACATGTTGAGGCGCTCATCAGCAGGTGCAGCCACAGCAGCCTGCACGGATTCCTGCGCTTCGACTTGGTTGACTTGGCGAGGAGCACGATTGACCATCCAGCTTGGCGGCTTCGAGGCGGTCCCATTGACGGCATACCACTCGTCATCCTTCTTCTTGAAGCAGGAGGCAAGGTTGTGGTTGGTGCCGCCACACACCTGGCCAGCACGAGGGCCGCGCTTGATGACGTAGGGACACGGGGGGAAGCGGTTGCGCTGGAATGGCACCAAAGCGGCATAGGCTTGAGGCACGGGAGCGTGGATTGCATTGGCCTTGGCTTGAGCGCTGTTGTCCTTTTCGGCAGAAAGGAGCGCGGATGAGACCTTGGCAAATGTGAGATCTGCAGGAGCAAGGCCCAAGAGCATCTTGCGTGTAACTTGGCATGCCGGAGTGAGGCCGACTAGGAGAGCGGCTGCAGGGGCTTGCTCGGGGAAGACTATCCCCAACTGTTTGAGTTCACCATGAATGGACTGCACCTTGGTGACATAGTCCGCCATGCCTGGCGAGTCCTCGAGCCGCACTTGGAACATGCTGGGGATGAGTATAGCAACTCCCACTGCAGTGTTGTTCAGGAAGCGATCTTCGAGGCAGAGCCAAATGGCGTTGGCAGATGGGTAGTTGTGGTAGGTTTCGACGAGTTCGGGAGGAGTGGTGCCCATGAAGACACTAATGACCGCACCATCGGCCTTCTCCCAATTCTTGTACTTGAGCAGTGCAGCAGCATAAGCTGCTTCAGCGGCGGCATTAGCTGGATCGGCGGACCTCTCGGGTTTAGGACGCTATTTGCCGTCACCGATGTGGAGAAGGACGTCGGTGAGCTCGAGCCCCTTCACCTCGCGACTGAGGAGGTGCTTGTCGACACCATAGCGCCAAGCCTTGTAGTTGGAGCATGTGCCGTCCGGATCGAGACGAAGGAGCGGGATCGGGTTGGCGAGTGAAGTGGTTGAGTAAGCCATTGTCGGTGTGCAGCGCGGCACTTCTGGAAATTGGTCGACGAGAATTGCTGAAAATCACTCTGACGGCTTTATCAAAATGCCGCTAAGTAGGAAATGGCGTCGGCGAAAATTCGTTTAAAAACGCCGACTTGAAACTGAATCTGAGCCTATGTCTAACCCCGGACCCACACACCCCCCCACACACCCCCAGGCCCTGTCCCGCAGCTACACAGCTCCGCAACCAGCTCCGCAACCAGCTCCGCAACCAGCTCCGCAACCAGCTCCACAACCAGCTCCGCTCCGCTTCAACCTGTGTACCTGCTCTTGATTTGACGCGAGACGTTCGTGGAGGCGATTTTGCGAGGGGAGTTCGCCTATTCTGGCGGGATCTGAGGGGAATCTCGAGAACGAGTTTTAAGAGATGGTCGAAATTGAGATTCGACCAAGGAGAACCAAGGAGGAAATCGACGATGAAAAGCATGAACGCTTCAGAGATGAGAAATTCAACGAGGTCGAGCGCGAAGACAGTCGACGATGAGAGGCGCGACTGCAGAGTGGAGCACGTCGAAATTCCGACGACTCGAAACGAATGTCGCGACGATGAAGTGCGCGTAGCGCGGGCATATTGAGATTAGGACCTTGATCCGCATATGCGGATAGGTCGCTCTGATACCATGTAAGAAATAGAGTTGAAATGATTGATTAGGTAAGGATCCCAAGGCTCTATAAGTACATGGCAAGGTGAGAGTGAATGGATGAAGGGGGAATTGGAGGGAATCCCCATTGGGATCTAGCCAAAGTTGGTGGAAATGAGGAGGAGAAGCCTAAGATCAGCAAAGCAGCAGCGGCAAAGGAGAAAGGAGAGAGCTTGTGGGGAACAATTGCGAGTGCCGCTTTCTCCAACGCGACTTCCGCTATGGGAGAGTGTGATTGGCTGAACTTGCATCGGCGAATGGGGCATGTGGCATTGCACATTTTGCAGCAGATTGTTAAGTAAGAGATGGTCAATGGGATACGTGTTAAGTGGGAGCCCAATTAGGTGCTTGGCTGTCCAACAGGCATGCAAGCCAAGTTCACCCGCTACCCGTTCCATAGCTCGGAGACAACGGCAAAGGCACCACTTGATGAGGTGGTGATGGATGTGGTGGGCCCCTTGAAGCTTGGAGCTACTCGAGCTGAATACTTTCTCACCATTGTGGATGTCTACACTCGCATGACCTGGGTGTATATGCTGCCCAAGGAGAGTGATGTAGTTGAGATGGTGAAGACCGATTGGTTGCCGATGGTGGAACGAGAACATGACCGGCTTGTGAAGGCGATTCGCACAGTCCGTGGGGGAGAGTTCCTGAGCAAGGACTTCTCAATTTGGCTGAAGAAGCAGGGCATAAGACACTCTCTTACCATGCCCTACTCTCCTGCAATGAACGGCATCACCGAGCGTGCGAATCGGACACTCACGGTGACGGCTCATGGACTTCTCATTGAAGCCGGTCTTCCCAAATACTTTTGGCCGGATGCGATGCGGCATGCTTGTGTGGCCAAGAACAGAGCCTTGACTCATGTGGGAGAAGACAAATGGGTGCCCTATATGGAGTGGATTGGAAGGAAGCCGAAGGTGGATATGCTTCGGGTGTTCGGGTGCATGTGCATGGCACTTGTGCCTGAGAAACTTTGGCACAACAAGCTTGATGCCAAGGCAACATGGGCCGTGCACCTGGGCATGGCTCAAAACAGCAAGGGATGGCTTCTTTGGGACCCATTTACCAAGAAGTTCTTGGTGAGCAGAGATTGCAAGTTCATGGAGAACTTACCGTACAAGGAGTGGAAGGCGGAGAACCAAGCGAAGATTGGTGTGCGGCTTGGAGAGATGAATAGTACCGACTTGGAGCATGTGGAGCTGCCCTTGGAGCTGAGTAGCAGCAGCACAATCACAAGGCAATCTCCTCAAATGAATGGGGGAGAAGAGGAGGAGGAGGTGCAGCAAGGTGATGAGCGTGCATCGTCACTTCCGCCTCGTGCTACAAGTGCTCGCAGGAACCGACCAGATTTACCGCAACGCCATGAGAGCATTCAAGTCCCTGCAGCAGAGGAGGAAGGACGGGGGAGAAGGAGGACTCAGCCCCCCAATAGGAGTAGCTCTTCCTTACTCAGCGTCGTGAGTTCCTCGTGCTCCATACTGATTACCTGATCGCGTTGGAGGAACACGAGCGGTCGGCAACCCTCCGCACCCAGCATGCCGCTACCGCCGCCGCTTATGCCGCTGACTCTGCGCGATTTGCTGAGCGTCGTCGCGCCTGGCTCGAGGCGGACAGCCGTGCTACTGGTGCCCTTCTCCTTGCCATCCCGTCTGCGCTCATGCGCAACTTCCAGGCACGTCGCATTGGCTCCCGCCAGATCTGGCTCGAGCTTGAGGCAATGTTCGAACGCACCGACTTCGATGCTGTCGGACCGCTCTTCAAGGAATACTTCAGCATCACGATCGAACATAGCGCTGGCGCCGTTGACTACACCAGCCGTCTCCTGGACCTTGCCTCCCGCCTTGAGGCTCGCCAGACTACTCTCCCCCCCAACCTTCAGATCTACCGTCTCCTCGAAGGCCTCTCCCCTCAATATGAAGTGCGCGTCATCGCCTTCACTGAGGCTCAGCCCCACGCCTCCCTTGACACTGTGGTCCAATGGATCATTGACGCTGAGGCCCGCCTTCTCTCAACCCCCCCCTCCGGCCTGAACTCCACCGAGTCCCGAAACCCCCAGCTTGCAGTCACACAGCCGCGTCGTGGCGGGCGCCCACGTGGCGGCTGCACCAACCCTCAGGGAGGGGGTGGAGGTGGCGGTTGTGGGGGCAGCGGAGCCGGCGGCGGTGGTGGCGGGGTCGAGGGTGGCAGCAGTGGTGGTGGTGGAGGCAGTAGTGGCTCATCTGGTAGCCGTGGTGGCCGCCCTGGCACTCTCCCCCCATGTTCCTGTCTTCGCCGTTTTGGTCCCAGGGCGGGTGAGCGCTGCACCCAAACCAACCATCCCCCCGCGACCTGCTTCAAGGCGTATGATGACGCCTGGTTCGAGCGCGGCAACACTGGCACACCCCCACGCTGGTCTGCCATGGATCCCCGCCCCTCTCTCCAGGATGTCAAAACTCTTCCGTCTTTCCTCCCCTCTCATCTTCAGCTCTCCTCCTCCTCCTCCTCTGTCGCTGACCCCATAACTCCCCAGGAGCTGCAGCAGTTTCGCCGCTTCCAGCAGCTGCAGCTGCTGCAGCAGCAGCAGCAGTGGGGCTCTGGTGGTCAGGCTGCAGCCGCAGCTGCAGGAGCCGCAGCCGCAGCATCTGCATGGCAGCAGCAGCAGCTTGGCTTTGGCACCGCCGCCATGGCTGCCACATCCACACCAGGTCCTCCTGGCTTTCCCCTCTGGGGCTCTCCTTCCCCTAGTGCTCCCGCCTCCCACTCCAGCTTTCTAGGCGAGCTCATGCGTTCTTCCCCTGCTTCCACTTCCATGTATCCCTCTGTTTTTAATGCCAGTGATTTCCAGTACCCCGTGTCTCCAGCTCCCTCCTCGCTCACGATTGACTTTGTTCTCGATAGTGGTGCCACTGAAACTGCCCTCAAAGACGCCGGCACCCTCACCTCCCTCCCTTTCCCCACCAACGTGCATGGTGCTGATTCCAGCTTCTCCATCCCTTGCACTCATCTCTCCACCCTCCCCTGCCCCCCCTTCCCCTCTGGAGTGGTCACTGGTCTCCACATTCCCTCCCTTCGTCATAACCTGCTCTCCATTCGTGAACTCCAACAGGCTGGCATCACTACCCTCTTCCCCGCCTCTGCCACCTACTGTGACCTCCTCCACGGCCCCACTCGCCGCCTCCTTCATCGCCTCCCACTTTGCCCTCGCTCTCGTCAGTACATCCTCCGCACACCGCGCCCCTCCTCATGCCACGTGACCACTCGTGCAGGCACCTCTACTCTCCCCCCTCCCCTCCCTCTAGAGCCACCTTCCTCCAACTCCACCTCCTCCCCATGCTCTTGTCGCGCACTGTCCCACCCCGCTGTTCTCATCCACCACCGCCTTGGTCATATGAACTTTCCCACACTTCGTAAAGCTGTCTCCTCCCGCTTGCTTGACGGTCTTCCCCCCACTCTTCCTCCCCTCCCGTCCTCTTCCGCTCCCCCATGCGCCACATGCATTCATGGAAAGCTCAAACAACAGCCTCACCTCAGTCATCCTTCCTTTGCTGCTGCCCCCCTTGACCTCGTCCACATGGACCTCTGGGGCCCTAACCCTTCCCCTTCCCGCCAAGGGCACCGATACATGCTTGTCCTAGTCGACGACCACAGCAGATACTCCTCGGTGTTCCTCCTCCACACGAAGGCCGAGGCCCCTGCTGTCATCGTTACCTGGGCCGAGCAGTGCCGAGTCCACTTTGGTCGCCCCATCCGCCGCCTCCATTCCGACGGCGGTGGTGAGTTTCTCAACCGCACCCTCTCCTCCTACTGCTCAACCCATGGCATCCAGCAGACTCATACCCTTCCCCACTCCCCTCAGCAGAACGGTGTTGCTGAGAGTCGCATTCGTGAGATCACCAAGACGGCCCGCTGCCTCCTCACTCATGCCTCCACGCCCCCTTCTCTTTGGGGCTATGCCCTTGTCCATGCTGCTCTCCTTACTAATCTTTACCCACATCCTCAACGCCAGTCTGTCACTCCCACTGAGCTCTGGGCGATCACCAAGCCAGATGCTGCCATTCTCCGTATCTGGGGTTGCAAGGCATATGTCGTCATCCCCCCACCTAACCGCTCTCGGCAGGCAGGAAAGCTCGCCTCCAAGGCCATTGAGTGTGTCTACCTTGGCTACGCTCGCTCTGCCCCTGGTTACCTCTTCCTTCACCCGTCCTCAGGCCGCCTCCTACAGAGCCGTGACGTGGTGTTCGATGAGAGCATCCCGTTCTATCATTCTGTTCCGCCTTCCGACCCCCTTCCTCCTCTCTCCCGCCCCCTCACCTGGGCTGATGCTGTCATTCCCCCACTCCTTCCCCAGGCTCCCCTCCTTCCTCCAAATCCTGCTCCTCCCCCTCCTCCTTCCTCAGGTGACATTTACGACCCAGCTGTCCCTGACTCCCCTGCTCACTCTGCCTCATCGCACCAGCACCAGCAGCAGCAGCAGCAGCAGCAGCAGCAGCAGCAGCAGCAGCAGCAGCAGCAGCAGCAGCAGCAGCAGCAGCAGCAGCAGAAGGAGCAGCAGCAGCAACAGCAGCAGCAGCAGGTGCAGCAGCAGCAGCGGATGGAGCAGAAGGAGCAGCAGCAGCAGCAGCAGCAGCAGCAGCAGCAGCAGCAGCAGCAGCAGGAGGTGCAGCAGCGGATGGAGCAGCAGCAGCAGCAGCAGCAGCAACCGCAGGCAGTGCAGCAACAGCAGCCGCAGCAGGAGGTGCAGCAGCAGCACCAGCACCAGCCACAGCAGCAGCAGCAGCAGCAGCAGCAGCAGCCACTGCAGCAACCTCATCGGCATCGCCGCACCACCTCTCCGTTCATCCTCCCACGCATCCACACTCGCTCTCACGGCCCACTCATAGGCCATCCATGGGGTTGGCCAACACCACCCCCACCCTCCCTTCCCTTCATTGAGGACTCCCATGAGGAGCTCATTGGCGTTCAGCAACAAACACCTTCTCTCACGCCTCTCTACCCGGGCTTCCTTGGCCTCCTCATCCTTGGCATCGCTACCGCTCCCACTAGATTCACTCCGTCCAACTTCCTTGAGGCCATCACCTGCCCCGATGCTGCCAAGTGGATCCAGGCTATCTTTGCTGAATGCGAGGCCTTCATCCGCAATGCCTCATTCGTTAACATTGTCCCCTCTCCTGACGACATCATTGTTGAAGGCCTGTGGGTGTTCCGAGTGAAGTAGCTGCCGGGTGAGGAGCCGGTCTACAAGGCCCGGTATTGTGCCAAGGGCTTCACCCAAACCCATGGCATCGACTACTGGGAGACATTCTCTCCCACTGCCAAGCTCCCAACTCTCCGTGCCATCCTCGACTATGCTGTTCGCATTGGCATGGAGATTGCCTCCATGGATGTCTCCAACGCCTTCCTGCAAGGCGAGCTCCAGGAGCGGGTCCTCTTGCGGCGGCCTCCAGGCTTTCATGCAGCCTTCCCTGCCAACACAGTCTGGGAGCTGCGCCGCCCGGTTTATGGCCTCAAGCAGGCTCCTCGCGAGTGGCACAACAAGCTGGCCGCCACTCTGCAGTCCTTGGGGTTCCATGCCTCTCAGTCTGATGCCAGCCTTTTCCTTCGCTCCTCTCCCACCCGCTTCTTCATCCTGGTGTATGTCGACGACATGATCCTGTTCGCTGACGATGCTGCCGCCATGCAGCAAGTAAAGGACGCCCTGCATGCGTGCCTCAAGTGCAAGGACCTGGGTGAGCTCAAGCACTATCTGGGCATGACCACCACCCGGGACCGCACATCGCGCACCATTACCCTCTCTCAGTCCTTCTACATCGACCAAGTCTTGCAGCGGTTCGACATGGCGCAGGCCAAGCCGGTTACCACTCCCCTGCAGACCGACCACCAGCTTGCCCCTCCTCCTGCTCCCTCCTCCTCTGACCATCCTTACGCTGAGCTCGTCGGCTCGCTGATGTACGCTATGATGTGCACCCGCCCCGACCTTGCCTACCCCATCAGTGTTCTTGCTCGATTCGTCGGTACCCGGTCGCCACACTGATGAGCACTGGGCTGCAGCGAAGCGGGTCCTCCGCTACCTCCGTGGTACCAAGGACTATGTCCTCACCCTCGGAGGCTCTTCTCCTCCCCTCCTCTCTGGCTTCAGTGACTCCTCCTGGGCTGACTCCCAGCCGGATCGCCGTTCCTCTCAAGGCTACGGCTTCACCCTTGGTAGCGGCCTCATCAGCTGGCGCTCCACTCGCTCCTCCTCCATCGCCCTCTCATCCTGCGAGGCTGAGCTCTATGCTTGCACCATGGCCGCTCAGGAGGCTCGCTGGCTCACCTTCCTCCTTGCTGAGATCGGTGCTCCTCAGCGCTGTCCCACCCTCTGGTGCAACAACGCCAGCACCATTCATCTCACAAAGGACCCTGTCTTCCATGGCCGCTCCAAGCACATTGAACTCCGCTACTTCTTCGTTCGAGAGTTGGTCCAGCAAGGTCACTTGGTGGTCCGCAAGATCGCTGCAGAGGCCAACTTGGCCGACATCTTCACCAAGGCCCTCCCGAAGACCGCGCACTCTGCCCTCCTCCGCCTTCTCGGCCTTGGGCCCCGCCCCCCTTCCTGATTCTGGGGTTGTACCCTACATATACACTAGCTTTGGATGCTATGGGGTTGTGTTAGAATATACCATGCTATGCTAGTTGTGTATATTGTGTTTACATCCCTAGTTGGGTGTACACCTGTGTTGGGGTGTCAATCCAACCCAATTGTGGTTGGAGCCCCAAACACAAGGACCACAATTGTGGGGGCACCACAAGTGGGTTGGCTAAACCACTGGTGGTACACCACACTTGGACCACCTCCAACTGGTGGTCAACCACATTTGGAAGGACCCTCCCTCCCTTGTGATTGGTCCTAACCCCCCTTTCCCTTCCAACCTTCCCTTCCTAGCTCATCCCTCTCTTCCTATGTAATGCCTTTGCTTCATCAATAAACTGAACCTTTCTGTTTCTAACAATTCCTCCATCCCTCTCTGCCCACTTATTCATCCCTCTCTGCCCGTCCCTTCATCCCTCTCTGCCCCTTCCTTCATCCCTCTCTGCCCATCCCTTCATCCCTCTCTGACCATTCCTCATCCCTCTCTGCCCATCCTTCATCCCTCTCTGCCCATTCCTTCATCCCTCTCTGCCCATTCCTTCATCCCTCTCTGCCCATTCCTTCATCCCTCTCTGCCCATTCCTTCATCCTCTCTGCCATTCCTTCATCCCTCTCTGCCCATTCCTTCATCCCTCTCTGCCCATTCCTTCATCCCTCTCTGCCCATCCCTTCATCCCTCTCTGCCCATTCCTTCATCCCTCTCTGCCCATTCCTTCATCCCTCTCTGCCCATCCTTCATCCCTCTCTGCCCATTCCTTCATCCCTCTCTGCCCATTCCTTCATCCCTCTCTGCCCATTCCTTCATCCCTCTCTCCATCCTTCATCCCTCTCTGCCCATTCCTTCATCCCTCTCTGCCCATTCCTTCATCCCTCTCTGCCCATCCTTCATCCCTCTCTGCCCATCCTTCATCCCTCTCTGCCCATTCCTTCATCCCTCTCTGCCCATTCCTTCATCCCTCTCTGCCCATTCCTTCATCCCTCTCTCCCATTCCCTCTCTGCCCTCCTTCATCCCTCTCTGCCCATTCCTTCATCCCTCTCTGCCCATCCTTCATCCCTCTCTGCCCATTCCTTCATCCCTCTCTGCCCATCCTTCATCCCTCTCTGCCCATTCCTTCATCCCTCTCTGCCCATTCCTTCATCCCTCTCTGCCCATTCCTTCATCCCTCTCTGCCCATTCCTTCATCCCTTCTGCCCATTCCTTCATCCCTCTGCCCATTCCTTCATCCCTCTCTGCCCATTCCTTCATCCCTCTCTGCCCATCCTTCATCCCTCTCTGCCCATTCCTTCATCCCTCTCTGCCCATCCTTCATCCCTCTCTGCCCATTCCTTCATCCCTCTCTGCCCATTCCTTCATCCCTCTCTGCCCATTCCTTCATCCCTCTCTGCCATTCCTTCATCCCTCTCTGCCCATTCCTTCATCCCTCTCTGCCCATTCCTTCATCCCTCTCTGCCCATCCTTCATCCCTCTCTGCCCATTCCTTCATCCCTCTCTGCCCATTCCTTCATCCCTCTCTGCCCATTCCTTCATCCCTCTCTGCCCATCCTTCATCCCTCTCTGCCCATTCCTTCATCCCTCTCTCCCATCCTTCATCCCTCTCTGCCCATTCCTTCATCCCTCTCTGCCCATTCCTTCATCCCTCTCTGCCCATTCCTTCATCCCTCTCTGCCCCCTTCATCCCTCTCTGCCCATTCCCCTTCCCATTCCCTCCCTCTCTGCCCATTCCTTCATCCCTCTCTGCCCATTCCTTCATCCCTCTCTGCCCATTCCTTCATCCCTCTCTGCCCATTCCTTCATCCCTCTCTGCCCATTCCTTCATCCCTCTCTGCCCATTCCTTCATCCCTCTCTGCCCATTCCTTCATCCCTCTCTGCCCATCCTTCATCCCTCTCTGCCCATCCTTCATCCCTCTCTGCCCATTCCTTCATCCCTCTCTGCCCATTCCTTCATCCCTCTCTGCCCATTCCTTCATCCCTCTCTGCCCATTCCTTCATCCCTCTCTGCCCATTCCTTCATCCCTCTCTGCCCATTCCTTCATCCCTCTCTGCCCATTCCTTCATCCCTCTCTCCATTCCTTCATCCCTCTCTGCCCATCCTTCATCCCTCTCTGCCCATTCCTTCATCCCTCTCTGCCCATTCCTTCATCCCTCTCTGCCCATTCCTTCATCCCTCTCTGCCCATCCTTCATCCCTCTCTGCCCATTCCTTCATCCCTCTCTGCCCATTCCTTCATCCCTCTCTGCCCATCCTTCATCCCTCTCTGCCCATTCCTTCATCCCTCTCTGCCCATTTTCCCTCTCTGCCATCCTTCATCCCTCTCTGCCCATTCCTTCATCCCTCTCTGCCCATTCCTTCATCCCTCTCTGCCCTCCTTCATCCCTCTCTGCCCATTCCTTCATCCCTCTCTGCCCATTCCTTCATCCCTCTCTGCCCATTCCTTCATCCCTCTCTGCCCATTCCTTCATCCCTCTCGCCCATTCCTTCATCCCTCTCTGCCCATTCCTTCATCCCTCTCTGCCCATTCCTTCATCCCTCTCTGCCCATTCCTTCATCCCTCTCTGCCCATTCCTTCATCCCTCTCTGCCCATCCTTCATCCCTCTCTGCCCATTCCTTCATCCCTCTCTGCCCATTCCTTCATCCCTCTCTGCCCATTCCTTCATCCCTCTCTGCCCATTCCTTCATCCCTCTCTGCCCATTCCTTCATCCCTCTCTGCTCCCTTCATCCCTCTCTGCCCATTCCTTCATCCCTCTCTGCCCTCCTTCATCCCTCTCTGCCCATTCCTTCATCCCTCTCTGCCCATTCCTTCATCCCTCTCTGCCCATTCCTTCATCCCTCTCTGCCCTCCTTCATCCCTCTCTGCCCATCCTTCATCCCTCTCTGCCATTCCTTCATCCCTCTCTGCCCATCCTTCATCCCTCTCTGCCCATTCCTTCATCCCTCTCTGCCCATTCCTTCATCCCTCTCTGCCCATTCCTTCATCCCTCTCTGCCCATTCCTTCATCCCTCTCTGCCCATTCCTTCATCCCTCTCTGCCCATTCCTTCATCCCTCTCTGCCCATTCCTTCATCCCTCTCTGCCCATTCCTTCATCCCTCTCTGCCCATTCCTTCATCCCTCTCTGCCCATTCCTTCATCCCTCTCTGCCCATTCCTTCATCCCTCTCTGCTCCCTTCATCCCTCTCTGCCCATTCCTTCATCCCTCTCTGC